AGCTAACATGGGGTTAGCTTGTTAAAAAACAATAAAGCCTCATGCAGTTTGCATCAAGCTCTCAAATCTGCCTAGTGATTGGGGTGACTGTGGTTGTGGGCTGAGACCCCGGAGGCCTGAGTTTTCCAGGGGTCTAACAACACACACACACACACACACACACACACACACACACAAAGGTCTAAAGAAGAAGAAGAGGAGAGCATTAAAAAAGACCAAAAAAAAAAAAAAAAAAAAAAAAAGGGTGGTGGTGGTGATGATGCATAACTTTAATCCCAGCACAAGGATGGCAGAGGCAGGTGGATTTCTGTGCATTCAAGGCCAGCCTAGTCTATATGGAGAGTTCTAGGACAGTAAGGGCTACATAGTGAGATCCTGACCAAAAAGAAAAGAAAAGAAAAAATGAAAGAATAGAAAGCCCACGCTCATTTTCCAGAAAACTAGAAATAGAGTAAAAGAGGCTTCATCAAAACAATTCCTACTGGACAATGGTGGTGCTTGCCTTTATTCCTTGTACGTGGGAGGCAGATGCAGGTGGATCTCTCTGAGTTCGAGGCCAGCCTGGCCTACAAAGCAAATTCCAGGACAGCCAGAGCTGTTACACAGGGAAACCCTGTCTCGAAAAACAAATAACAACAACAAAAACATTTCATACTAGAAATCTTGCACAGCTTGGGAGCAGGATAAAAATGCAGGGACATTCAAGACTCGCTAGGAAGGGCTGGGGCTATAGCTCAGCACACAGAGAGCTTGCTTATTAGTCACAGGGCTCTGGTTCAATCCCTGGTGCTGAATAAATAATTTTCTGTAAGAGCATAGTGACAGCAGCAGTGTGGGACTGTGTACGCATTAGACCTTACACAGCTGCGAGGACACCCTGCCAGCAAAGTCTGGCTGGTCAACTGAAAATTTGGCACTTAACAGTGACTACTAAAGCAATCACTCAAGTGAGGAAAAGTACAACAAGGAAATGTAGATAATATACACAAGGCAGCATAAAAAGACAGGGAAAGTTCAGGGTACATGGAAGGGAAAGAAGTCGCTCACTCCAGGATCTGGTTAACATTTCTTGTTGGCTGAGGATCAAGAGCTTCAATAGAGCTAACAAAACCAGGGGGAGGGGTGAAGGGGGAGGGTGAGGCTAAAACAGCAGTCCTGATCCCTCAGGACTGCTCAATATGTTTCAAACAGGAAACGGGCCATGGCTGCTTAACACGGAGACTGTGCAGCTTTTTAGTTTATCAGCAATTTCTCATCTCCAAACCAGAACCATATACTTCATAAGGCACCTTCAATTTTAGACTCACAGAGAAAGGTCTCTTTAAAACTACATTTATTAAGCTGGGTGGTGGTGGCACATGCCCTTAATCCTAGCACTTGGGAGGCAGAGGCAGGTGAATCTCTGTGAGTTTGAGACCAGCCTGCTCTATAAGAGCTAGTTTCAAGACAGGCTCCAAAGCTGCACAGAGAAACCCTGTCTTGAAAAACACAACAAACAAACAAACAAACAAAAAATCCCTGCATTTATCTATTTATTTATTTGTGTGTGTATGTACACATGTGTAGGTCAGAGAACAATTCCTGGAAGTCTGTTCTCTCCTTCCATCATGTGAGTCCACCCAGGCTCATCTGCAACTCCCTATGTACCTGAGGATGCCCTTGAACTTGTTACCCTTCTGCCTGTACTTCCCAGGCTGGGATTATAAGCATCTGCCACTAAGCCCAGTTTAATGAAGCACTAGCAATCGAACTCAGGACTTTTGCATGTTAGACCGGCACATTAAAAAATTATTTCTAGGGCAGGAAAGGTGTCTCAGAGGTTAAGAGCACTTGGCTGTTCTTCCAGAGGTTCTGAGTTCAATTCCCAGCAACCACACGGTGGCTCACAGCCATCTGTAATGAAATTTGGTGCCGTCTTCTGGTGTGCAGACATGTACGCAGGTAGAACACTTTATACATAATAAATAAATATTTAAAAAAACTATTTCTAGGGGGCTGGAGAGATGGCTCAGAGGTTAGAAGTATGGGATGCTCTTCCAGAGGTCCTGAGTTCAATTCCCAGCAACTGCATGGTGGTTCACAACCATCTATAACAGTGTACACATAATAAATAAATCTTAAAAAATTATTTCTGGGGGCTGGAGAGATGGCTCAGCGGTTAAGAGCACTGACTGCTCTTCCAAAGGATCTGGGTTCAATTCCCAGCACCCATATGGCAGTTCACATTGTCTGTAACTCCATGATCTAACTAACACCTTCACACAAACATAAATGTAGGCAAAACACCAATGCACATAAAAATAATTAAGTTAAAGAGAATTATTTCTAAGCCAGGTAGTGGTGGCATACGTCTTTAATCCCAGCACTCGGAAGGCAGAAGCAGTCAGATCTCTGTGAGTTTGAGGTCAGCCTGGTCTACAAAGAGAGTTCCAGGACAGCCAGAGCTACATAGAGAAACCCTGTCTCGAAAAACCAAAACAGAAGAAAACACTTTACCAAGAAAAGTAAATTTTAGTTAAGAAAAAAGATTACTGAGAAGAAAGAAAAAAGTGTTAGGTATCAGAACATTAAGGGAAATGTGTTTTTCGGGACTTTATTTTTGACTTTGTATTTTAATGGAGTGTGCCCAATGTCTCTACGTTTTCCCCCCATGACTGCAGAATCTGGAAAAGCTGCTGCTGCTGCTAATGATGCAGAGCGTGCTACAATTTTTGGTCTTTTTACCCAAATAAAAACGTATACACACAGAGACACACACTCACAAATAGGATACATACTTCAACTGTGGGAAAAAGTAACCTCTTTTACTACATTAAGATAGCACGGTATGGAAATGAAAGCCACAATGGGTTAGAAATGTTGAACTTCATTTTTTTTTCTTTCTCCATTTGTACAGAGGTAACGCTGCACCCCGAATATGCAAGAGCGAGATCTTATCTACGTTGGTTTCATTACAGAAACTAATGTTCTCAGTGAGAACAGAGAAAAAACATTGCCAACAACTTTGAAGCCTTCTTTGCTCTTGTCACAATCCCACCCCTCAGAATAGGAAATCTGCCAGTCACTTCTTCGTCCTTTTCAGTTCCTCGATGCCTAAAACCACCGGAAAACTCCTTTATTTAAAAGAAACCAAGTTCAAATTCCAGTGTACAGAGGAACAAACCGGGTCACTGAGAGCAGGAGGCGTAAACCTTCGCCCCGCCCCTTGTAGGAGGCCAGTCTCTAGGGCAATTGCTTCGTCTCATTTGCATACCCATAATACACTGCAACTAATGCACATATTTTCGTGGAAATATACTTATCTATAACTAGAAGTATTAAAACTAAAAATATACATGTTATTTAAGGACATCATGAAAAAGTTCTTGTCGGTAGTGAGTCCTTAAATGTATAGTCACCATCACTATACCAGGAGGCTCTTTAACCTTTGAAACGTGCTAAGCAGTTTTCTAGTCATACTCTGGTTTCTCTTCAGATCGTATAAATCTTTCGCCTTTTACTAAAGATTTCCGTGGAGAGGAACAATTCTGAGTCTGAAACCAATTTTTTGAGGCCTTGTCTTAACAAGGCTCCACAACAATGTTTCAATAGTAGACTTCGCTTACCTGATATAAGCTAGAGGCTAATTAGCCAGACAAAACCAAAGATACAGAAAAGGCTCTTCAGTAAAGGTTTTAAAAAGCTGGCTAAATAGATAACCTTTTCTGTGTCTTTAGTTTTGTGCAACCATTGCCTGGTTATTACTAAAAACGTTATATATATATATATATATATATGTATGTTATATAAAGTTATGTTGCTATGACTGTCTAGTGTTCAACCTCATCAAAAACCTGAGGAGAAAAATAAAAATACTAGGTAGACAGAAAGTGCAAGTGTGCAATTTCCTAAAGGTTCAAGCAGAAACATGTTTTGCAGCAAAGACAGTCACCCAAGATCTCACAGCAATGTTGGGGAGAGGCTGAGGCCTAAAGTATCAGATGGGCCATCTCAGAAGCAGGGAAATTGAAAAAACCGTCTTATCCTGACTTGGCAGTTTATCTCCTGCAAGACTAATAAGGACAGTATGTTCAAGGTGTGTATTACTACTTCCTGGCGTTCATAATAAAGAATAAACTTTATTATACTACTCCTTTAGAACCTCTCAGGTAGCTGGGCATAGTGGCACACACCTGTTCTAATCCCAACACTGGGAGGGTACCGGGACAGAGGCAGGCAGATCTCTGTGAGTTCAAGATCAGCATGATCTACATAGTAAATTCAAAGACAGCTAGAGCTCTCACAAAAAATAAAATATATAAAACCTCTTTCAGGGCTCTGTGGTGGTGGTGGTGGTGGTGGTGGTGGTGGTGGT